ATGGGTGTTATTGCGCTGCCGGGAGATGCTGCGTTTTATCCAAGAGATAATAAATACAACGTTCCTGCTTACGACCGACTTTGTAAGGAGTTTGGTGTTGTAGGGAAGGATTTTAGATGCACTGTTGGTGCTAACAATGGCTTGGGGCATATTTGGGCTTATTGGGGGATTGGTGGACATGTGCTAAGCGATAAAGAAGTTCATTCGCTGCAGTTGCGGTGGAACACTGGGTATCACAAAGAAACTCACGACAGTAGCACCTTCTTTGAACCAAATGCCAAAACCACTAAGCAAGTCCGCGATGGACCTCTGTTCAAAGACGAGGGTGGTAAGTATCGTGGAGCTAATCCACTGATTATTAAGATTACCAACGACGAGCAAACGGAGCAATATCTTAATTTCATACCTCCAGAAGGTAAAGGACTAACCAAAGCTGGCCTTGCCCGTTTGAACCGCAGCATAGAAGCTTACGTGTATTCCATTTTGGGAGCTCAGGTAAACACCCGATCAAATATAATTGAAAATACCGGCGCCGCAGAAGAGACGCGAGCCGAAGCCTTGATCTTATTCGAAAGTTCAATCTTGGAGGGCGACATTAGCAAGGGCGTACAGCGTTACCAACTAGCTATACAAAATTCTAAGGCRAGGTTGGACTATGYAGTAGCCCCGGGTTGTTGGTTAATGCCTAGTAATTTATCTATAAATACTGGTTCTGTAGTAGGATACAACAACAAACTTCAAAAGGCTACTAAAGACATGAAGTTTGGGGTAAACGACGTGAACTCTGACGCCATTAGGAGGCAGTTAGTTGAGCAGCCTAAGAAAGTGCATTACGTGCAACCACCTAAGAAAGGATTACGCCAACCACCTAAGAAAGAATCACGCCAACCGCCTAAAAAAGAAGAGGAATATGACCACAACTTACTAAAAGCCGGCTTAGCAGCTGCAAGCATTGGTCTGAGCTATTATATATGGCGATGAACAACCCCTACGTAGCTGGAGTAGATTGTGTCTATACGACTTACACAGGTGAGAAAAAATACACCCAAGCCGCTTGGGTTGATGTCACGGGCATGTCTGTAGACTTGAACTACTCGGGAAAGAAGTTAATCCTTTGTAGTATTTGCATTGGCACGACCGGCCATGCCAACGTGGGCTTTAGGTTCCTGGATGAGAATGGCGTACTGCAGCCTATGCGTGCGAAGACGAACAACAGGGAGCCTGCGCATTTCTCCGTAGAGCCGCCACCGAATAGCCCTGAGAATCTTACGACTTGGACTTTTCATATGGTCACTAA